TACTACCCAGGGGATCAAACCCAGGATGTAGCAGTGAGAGGCACACACTACCACAACACCCATTATCACACAACCTCCAGTAAGTCATTATGCGCCAACAATATATCATTGGTATTATTATCGTTTTATTCATGAAGTGATTTTAGGTTAGGGGTAATTGTGCAGGATACAGCAACCAAAGAATTCCGGAAATTCACTTCACTCAACCGATAGAACAATTTTTTCTATTATCTATTTCTTATATTACACTTCAGTCGCAAATTTATAATAATGAAGTTATTGAATTTCAAAAAGAATAAAATCAGAGCACCTGTTGCCCCTATGCTGTTGCTCAAATTGTGTGTGTTCGTACATTCGCTTACCTCCCACGCATGTGCCAGCCGCCAATCAAATGGGGGGGAATCAAATCTAGAAGGGGAGCGGCAGCCAGTCAAATATCTCAAATTTTATGCAATCAATTGGCATTTAATATTCTGCATGGGACTATTGGAAATTTATTGCATTATTTCATTCGAAAAAGGATACTTGAGATTATCTACGTAAACACGGTGTCCTTCCAAGAGGAGTTACAGTATTTGCAAACGTTGTAATTTGCCGTGTACATACCACGAAAACAACCATCGGTGGTATTGTGGCGGTTGGACGAAAATTTTGAAAACCAAATACTAAAGAAAACAATGCAATTGTACGGCGAGCGACTACAAAGGCACCTTTCTGGAAGATGTGCGCAATGAACCGTGGGAAGTGGTCTTATTTATCAACCACTGGCTCCAGAAAAAGTGGGACCACAAGACCATTGTTGAGTGCCTAGGCTGGTCTATGCATATCAGCGTGGTTTGGCGTAGTTTCTGTGAATTCACAGAACACTGGTTTTCCAACCAAGAGCCACACAGAGAACCAGGTGTCATCGTTGAAATAGACGAGTCGTGCTTTGGGAAAAGGAAGTACTGTACGACAAAGGACGACCGTTGAGTAACATTTGGTGGCATTGAAGGCGAGGTAATTAAAGTTTTATTGTGCCACCCGTTCCACCGCTCGTCCCTAAACGAAATAAAGAAACATTGGTGCCCTCGATTCGTAAATATATACGATCAGGATCCGTCACTTGTAGCGACGGTTGGGGCGCTTACCTCACCCTAAAGGACAAAGGCTACAACCATCAAGTGATTAATCACTCTGAAAACTTCGTCGACCCTGCACACCACGACATCCACATCCACACACACAACGCATTGTGGAAGGGCATTAAAGAGCAGATAAAACTACCAGGCAGTTGTCCAGAATACTCCGCTCAATATTTAGCAAGTTATCTATTCAGAGAGAAATATTCCGCAAATTTGCACCACACCGCTTTCAAACACGTTGCCCTCCTGTACCCTCCACAATCAGAGCAAGAAACGAGGGACCAAAGATGCATTCTGGTCCCTGACTCAGACTCAGACCCCGACTCGTGAGTAAGGTAAGAAATACTGTAACAGCTATATTATTATGGAGGCTGACCACGCGACTCTGGGTTATTATCTAGCATATGGCCCTAGCCTGGGGCAAAGCCACCGGGGATCCAGGGGCAGAGCCCCCAGTTAGGTGGTTAGGTAAGGTTTAGTTTGGTTATATTGTATAATCCACAATCACTCATTTTTTTGCTCTTCCCCACCAAAACCCGAGTTCCCATGCTCTCCCCCAGTATTGTTATAGGGAGGGAGGGGAGGGGGCTAAATCACAAACGAGTGATTTTCGACAAAAAATGAAGGTCAGATTTGAACTAATCACATCAAAAGCCATCATAAAACTTTTTTTTTAATTCTATGGTTGCTGTAATATGCATATTTACCAGGTTATTTTTGGTTAGTTTGAAATTATGTTTTTCCGATGATTTTTGAGGTTTTGAACATTTCTGACAGGAATATAGGTGAACGACCGTATCATCTAAGCCCATATGTATGCAAACGATGGTAAATTAACCTAACCATATAAATACATAAAACAAAATAGTCAATGGTGGCCTTCACAGCCTCATGCGAATATGGTAATGAACTTTGGCTTTTACAGAGTATTAAGGTATGTCAATTCTTTTGTTTGTTGACCTACTCCTGTCCTGATGGTTACAGTCCAACTCAGCCCACATCCAACTCGGACCATCAAATACCATCTCGGATAACCAACTCAGACCACTTAAGCTAACGAACTCGGACTAAAAAGTAACAGTAAAAGTTTACACATTTTTGCATGAATGATAAAAGTACAATGATAAAAAGCAGCATAGATAGTAAGGGAGGAGGAAATTTATTTGTTATTATTTAGCTTTTCATTCTATCTTATTAATAAACAGTACTAATGTACATATGTGGAAGAGATGATCTTTTTTCTTTTATATATAATTTTATATTTAGTTCACAATTAAAATCACTTTACCTGGAGACCTGACGACACCCTCACAAAATATGACGATAGAAGATAACCTATAACGAGATCTGAGGTTGACATTCCACAACAATGTACCCACAGAGGGCGGCCTCACTTTACCTGGTGACCTGACAACGATAACCTCACAAACTATTGAGGTTGAGGATGACCTGATCACGAGATCTGAGAGTTGACGAGTTCCACAACAATTTAAATAATGAGTTACTTAATACACAATGGCAGAACATACCATACAGAAAACTCGGATCAAATAATGACCCCAAATGGATAAATAATTATTCAAGGAATAATAAAGGCCAAAGGAAGGCTATGGGTAGAATAAATCATGAACTTTACCTCCGAGATTATTATAAGGTATTGGACAGTAGGGTTAAGACCGAGATAAGAAAAGCAAAGAGGAATAATGAACTGAAGGTAGCAAGGCAGGCGAAGTTAAACCCCAAGGGATTCTACCAAATGTATCAAACTAAAACACGAGACAAGATTGGACAAACACCGGTGAGCTAACTGACGACGACGGATAAATGAGCAAAAATCGGAACAGATATTTTTCAACAGTTTTCACCACCGAAAATTTAAACATGATACCCAAAGGCACCGACTATATACAGAGATAGTAAAGAAAATAAATTAACAAGGATAATAGTGACTAGTAACGATGTTAGTAAGCAAATTGACAAGCTAAAGCCTAATAAGTCACCAGGTCCCAATGAGATATTTGCCAGAGTATTAAAGGAATGTAAGGAAAGGCTTAATATGCCCTCAGCAAATTTGGTAAAGGTGTAGAAGAGGGTGACCACCAGAAGGCATTGTCCAAATTGGTTGAAATTTTTTCTACACACTAATATATTAAACACAAAAATGGAAACAAAAATGCATAGACCCTGACAATCTTTATATTTACTCTATCCCGCTTCACAATTCTCCTCCCGGCGCCATTTTTGTTGTTTAGTTAAGCTGAATCCCTGTTCAAGAGACATTTCCTAAATGATGGTAAACGCTTCCACGTATTCCTCCTCACCATTGCTGATGTATATCAACCTCAATATTGAGGTAAGTGGTTTAACACATTAACACGACAATGCATAGAACCTGATAAAACCTGACCTAACATACCCATAGGTTGGGTATGTTAGGTCAGGTTCTAAGCATTTGTTTCCATTTTTGTGTTTAATATATTAGTGTGTAGAATTTTTTAACCAATTTGGGCAATTCCTTCTGGTGGTCACCCTCTTCTACACCTTTACCAAATTTTTTTTTAACGTGTCATTAAAAACGTGTGTGGTACCAGAATCATGGAAGATAGTGAATGTGATACAAATTTTCAAGGGCGGTCGGACTAATTACCCAAATGTACCCAAATGTAGCAAAATATAGCCGCAATGAAGTTAAACAATGGTCCTACATGAATAAATCGGACTGCCAATCACTTCTCGACTAGTATTTGGTGTCACAAAGTCACAAAAAATTGGAAAACTTACTTTAATCTGAGTTAATAGATCGCGTGCATGTAGCGAGGGAGCGAGTAATTCCCCAAATGTAGCCGCAATGAAGTCAAATGATGGTCGTACAAGCGTAAATCAGGCTGTGAATCACTACTCGATTATTATTTGGTGTCATAAAGTCACAAAAAATTGGTAAACTTAATTTAATCTGAGTTGTGTTGTGTTAGGTTAGGTACATGCACTCGATCTATTAACTCAGATTAAATTAAGTTTACCAATTTTTTGTGACTTCGTGACACCAAATACCAGTCGAGATAGGAGGGAGATAGGAAGGACCTGGTTCACAAATAGGGTGGTGGACGAGTGGAACAAGCTTAGCAACTTTGTAGTAAGTGCAGGAACGCTGGAATGTTTCAAAAGGAGGCTGGATAGATTCATGGATGATAGAGAGTGGTAGTAACTCTCGACAGGAGCAGCCATGCACAGGCCAACCGGCCTATTGCAGACTCCTTATTTTCTTATGTTCTTATGAGAAGTTATTGGTAACCCGATTTATTCATGTAGGACCATTATTTGACTTCATTGCGGCTACATTTGGGTAATTAGTCGGACCCTTTCAAGGGAGATAGATCACTATCCTCTAACTACTGTCCAATCAGTTTAACATCAATTGTAGGCAAACTGCTGGAAGCAATAATTTCAAACCCTATTTGAAATCACCTGGAGCACAAGTTACAAATGAGAATATTGGTTCATTGATCACGTTCTACTAACATACTCATAATATTCGTCCTTCATACCGACTGAACCCTCGGTATTCACTCACACACACTTCGTATTTCAGCGAACCAAAAAGAGACATAAAACATATCTCAAACGCTTTCCTGAACCTTTAGTCAGCTACTTGTTTGAAGCGTGTAAGGTGGGCCGAGTTAGTTATGAGTGGGCAGAGCTGTTTATTTAAGATGGGCCGAGTTGGAAGTACACCGACCTGACCTGACCTGACCTGTAGGTAAATATATCAAAAACATCTAATAAAATGGCGGCTCACATTTTAAAATTACCCAATACAATTATGTTTAGTTAATTGATGGCTAATGACTAGTCAATAGCGGCGGCCACAAGACTTACCTGGTTCCTCTGAGAGCTGCCCTCCCTGTCGCCATAGTTAGAGCCGCCACCGCCACCACCGCCGCCACCACCTCGGCCGCCACGTCCTCGACCACCCCTATAGTAGCCGCCACCGCCACCCCGCTGATCACTCCTCTGGTGTTGTTGGTGATGCTGGTGTGGGTGTTGGTCATTCCTGTTGTCTGTGTTGTTGTGGCTGTTACTGCCGCCGCCGCCGCCGCCGCCGCCTCCTCCACGGCCGACGCTACTGCTGCTGCTGCCGCCGCCACTGCTGGCCCCCAGACTCCCTATACCACCAGGCACCTGAGTCGAGGTCTGAACATTGCCTAGATTTGTGCTGCCTCCACCGCCACGGCCTCCAGGGCCGCCACCGCCCCGGTTCCCACGGAAGCCTCCTCGTCCACCTCGCCCGCCGCCGCCGCGGAAGTTACTCGTGTTCTCACCGTTCTCACTTGCTTTCGGCGTCTGCGGTTCTTTCTTCACATTTTCCATATTCTTGGCCTGAGCCTGAGCGTCCATCGCCATGGCTTGGGACAATAAGAGGGAACACCACACACCCAACAGCTTGACTCAAAATGGCGGAGGAGGAGTAATGGAGGAGCAGCCGCCGGAGCTGTGTGTGCTGGGGTGAATGATCGATACTGCGCATGCGCCGCCCTCACCCACGCCGCCACTCTCTATCATCGGTAATCGATAACTCGCTCCATAAACACTAATATCTTAATACTTATATACCTAAGCCATCTGCATCATTATCTATTATATATATATATACATATATCAGCTTGAGATATATTACGCATAAAGCCATTATATCCGTCATCCGTTGTTGCGCATTGTCTGCCCTCACAAGATGCCACACCGGGGACGTGTGACCAGTATCAGCTTGAGGATAAATTGTAATAAACGCTATTTCATTTTTACTTTCACAAACATTTGTAAAATTATAATAAAAAATAGTGTATGAATAGACACAACTTTAAAGAAACTTAGCCATCACACACAGAGATAAACTTGAAGATGCTAAAGGGTTGGACGTTCAAGTGGCGAAAATGTTGTAAATTTCAAAGATTTCGATAAGAGTTATAATATTTGTTTTTTATAAATTGTTATGATATTAATAAAGTAACTGTAATGATAATTATTTCATTTTGTAAAGGAATACCGAGCATGTTTTAGAAATAGTTAACATTCACTTGTACTTACTTAAACCTTCACGATCTAGATTAGTATTATTTTTTGGGGGGTAAGCATTAAACTAGAACAAATAACTAAAGGGTATATTACTGAATCATCTTTTGTATACATAATAAATAGAAGCGTCTAACGCCTTTCTTGTTTTGATTAAAACAGATTTATTAATTTTGACCGGTTTCTATAATTTGTACTTTTTTCACTATTATCATTGCACTATACGGTATATGCTAAATCAATGTAACATTTGATTTTTTATGAAACATCTATCGTTGTACATATAAACCTTTGTTGACTTTTATGACGATTCTCCCTTTTGAATATTTATCTTTATATATCTACGAGTTAAACAAATGTGCTAAGAGAGTTGAGCAACGAGCTTGCCGAGCCCCTGAAGATCCTGTTCCTGTAATGCCTGGATGAACAAAAGGTCCCCAGTGAGTGGAAAATGGCTTATGTGAGTCCTATCTTCAAGAAGGGCGATCGTCACTCCACGAACAACTATAGACCGGTGAGCATGACCAGCATTGTATGTAAAGTACATGAGAGCATTATAAGAGATGCCATGATGGAACATCTACTAGGAAACAACCTTGTAAAGGATTGCCAACACGATTTTATGCCGGGGCGCTCCTGCTTAACACAATTACTCAAAGTACAGGAATATTGGATATTTGAACCCATATTCTGGAAAAGGTGGTAATATCAACATTATATACTTAGATTTTGCCAAGGCTTTCGACAGTGTACCCCATGAGAGGCTGAAAATTAAACTGGAAGGGTACGGGTTTCGGGGAAATGTCTTAGCGTGGCTAGAAGACTTTCTACATGACCGCAAGCAGTGTGAGGTGATTAATGGCACGAAATCATCATGTGTAACCGTCACAAGTGGGGTACCACAGGGCAGTGTATTGGGCTCGCTGTTTGTTTGCTTCATAAATGACATGCCTGACGCTGTACATTCCTCCATACAAATGTTTGCGGATGATGCCAAGTTATTTCAGGAAATTAAGAACCAACTAAACTGAGGAGCTGCAGAAGGATCTCTGTGAGCTAGAAGAATGGTCGAAGAAATGACTGCTAAGATTCAATGCCATGAAGTGTAAGAGGATGCACCTGGGATGTAGCAACGGTAAGAAGGCGTATCATATGTCCCAACGGGACGAAGAGACTACATTAATTGAGACTGAATGTGAAAAGGACCTAGGTGTGTATGTTGAGCTGAAGTTTACGGGCCATTCCGAGAAGAAGGTAAATTAGGCAAATAAAGCATTAGGTCTTATAAGAAGATCCTTCAGATATCTAGACGGTCCGTCCCTCGTAACGATCTTTAAGAGTGAAGTGATTCCCCATCTGGAGTACTGTCACCTCGTCTGGTCCCCGAGATATACTAGGGACTGTCAGTTGATTGAAAATGTCCAGAGGGCCACCAAACTGGTGCCTGCACTACTGCACCTCAGCTACCCTGAGAGATTGGCGCGCCTGAACTTGCCTAGCTTATACTATAGACGGGCAAGGGGGGCCCTAATTGAGGTGTATAAGCATCTCAGGGGGCACTAATCAGTCGAGTGTCCTTACCTGGAGCTGGCGGACGCTCGCCCCACAAGGGGTCACAGCTCAAGCTTGAAGAAGCCGCAAGCCTAAAAAACTGTGTGGGCAAAATTTTCGGAGTGAGAGTTGTGAACTCTTGGAACAATTTGCCAGAGAGTGTTGTGACGGCACCGAGTGTGAGCTCTTTCAAGACCAGACTTGACCAACACTGGAGCAGGTTCAGGTACATTCAGGAGCCATTGCATGCCCAGTACTTACCAACAGTGCGTACGCAGACGTGACCGATCGCCCAAGCAGCTAACAGGCCGATCTGTGGTGAAGAGGATAAAAGAAAAGTAAAAGTATATGATTTTACTAAATAAATATATCAATATATCTCTCTTTCTGCTGTACTGTATATACAGTACTGTACTGAATCAATGTCATCTCGTATACAGATACATACTGTACATAATTATAAATACATTTCCTGGGGTGCCTAATCTTCAGGTGAAATAACTTAGGGTGCCAAGTCTTCAGATGAATAACCTAGGGTGCTTAATCTTCAGGTAAAGTAATTTGGGGTGGCTAATCATCTGTTAAATATCCTGGGGTGGCTAATGTTGAGGTGGTCCGTTTAAAGTTATCCCAGACCTTGGCCATTATAATATATAACCATGAAGGTTTGGTTAAGGTCAAAGTCCGATTACAAAAGTTAAGTTTACACTACGTTAACGTTTTGTTAGGATAAATGTTATGTTAGTTTGATGTTAGGTCAATGTTCTGCTAGATTAAGGCTACTTCAGTTAAAGTTAGGTTAAGGTTAGATTAGGAGAATGTCAAGTTAAGGTCATATTAACTTTTTATTAAGTTAGTGATATACAGTAGTTGGTTAAATGCAAACTTTCGGGTTTTATTTACTTAAGTTCACGGCAGGTAATGTAAGGTTAAAGTTACGTTAGGTTAATATTATCAGCTTAATTTTGTCAGGTTTATGTTATTTCAGGTTATTATTATGTTAGGTTAATGTTATTTGAGATTATTATGTGAGGTTAACGTTGTTTGGTTAAAGTTATGGTATGTTAATATTTTGTGTAATTTTATCACCAAAATAATCTGTTAAATGACCAAACATAAAACACTCCCATACACCTGCCGTTTCCCACAGGTAAACTAGTTCCCGCTGTTGTCATTTACTGAGGCAACGGGTAAGCATCACTCAATTCAACCTCCCATAAGTAACACAACAAATTCAATACTGTAATAAAAACAAAGTGGATTTAGTAGCTATAGATGTAAATATATTCTAATTAATATAAATAATGTAATCAGTTAATATTAATAATGTATTTATTACAAACAAAGTAATTTACTTTAAGATTTCTATATGATCTAAAGATGATCTTTAAGAACAAAGAATTGTTCCTTTTATCAGTGTGAGAATAACCAACTCCCTTTATGCTGACTACATCCCTGACCACCGTAGAGTCAAGACCTATTCAGGCGCTGCGCCTGCTGAGCAGCTGCCTGCCTTGGCCAATGATTGGCCCATTCCCCAAGTCCCTCTCCCCGACCCATCCTCACCACCGGGATATCAACATAATCAAAAGTGACAATTTCGTTTCGGAAAGAAGTGGGACCAGCGTTGAACAGTGATGAACAGTGTTTAAACCAGTGAATTCAGCACTAGACAGTACCAGTGAGAGTCGTGACCCACCAGTGAGATAAGCACCGCTGGGAACTGACCGCCATCTTCTGACAAGGAGGTGCTAATCAGTCCACCTTGGGAACAACATTGGGTCGGCTTCACACCTGATTTCGAAATAACACAACACCACCCAGTAGGGTGGGGTACTGTGACACCACCCCACACCACCCGGTGTCCCCATGACCATGTGAGGTCCTTCATATCAACACCCGAAGACGAGTTCACTGCACCACGTGAACACCACACCACCCGGTGTCCCCATGACCACGTGTGGTCCTTCATATCAACAGCCGAGGACGAGTTACTGCACCATGTTAACACCGCACCACCCGGTGTCCCCATGACCACGTGAGGTCCTTCATATCAACACCCGAGGACGAGTTACTGCACCACGTTAACACCACACCACCCGGTGTCCCCATGACCACATGACGTCCTTCATATCAACATCCGAGGACGAGTTACTACACCATGTGAAAACCACACCACCTGGTGTCTCCATGACCAGTCCAGGCCCGGGCCATCAACCGTAAACTATAATAATTTGTATGTTCAATTCATGTTCCTTCTTCTTTCAGTAATGAAAGCTTTTGGGGGATTTCAACTTCAGAAATATTGACTGGGACAACATTGTAGGTGACTACGAATCTGAAGACTTCCTAGACGCAGTACAGAACAATTTTTTTAAACAACTAATTACAGAACCTACTAGAGGTGACAATATATTAGACCTAGTATTAACAAATAAAGAAAATATTATCAGAGATATCACAGTAGGGGAAGAACTAGGTAACAGTGATCACAGAGAAATCAGGTTCACCCTAAATTGGGAAACAAAAAACAATGACAATATGGTCAGAGTCCCAAACTTTCGGTTGGCGGATTATCAGGGGTTAAGAAGGTACCTAGGTGAGGTCACCTGGGAACAGTTAGGTCAGTCCCCAGTAGGAAAGGGTGAGGTCACAGATGACACAACAATTGATCACGACTATAATATATTCACTAGTATACTACGTAAAGCACAAGAACAAAATATACCATACAGAAAAATTAGGTTAAATAAGAATGAGCCAAGGTGGATGACCAGAAAACTTAAACATGACATAGGAATAAAGAAAGGAATTTATAAGAAATTAAAGGGAGGGGAGGAGCAGCTCAGAAATTGGTGTAATGAACTATCTAGGAATGTTAAGAAAAATGTAAGGAAAG